GAAATATTGAACTTGGTGAAAGATGAAATACGAAAATCTGACACAAATTATCGTGAAGCTATTTCGCCAGAAGAACGACTTGCTATTACACTCAGGTAAAAAAATTATATGTATTAAAATTAGTAGGCTTATCGAATACGAAAACTTCAGGGATCGTGAAATAAATATTTTATTGTAATAATTGGACTACATGTTGCCACTAGGATTAAATGTTGCTAAATAATTCGAGGTAGAATTTGCCTCCTCTGTTGGGTATATTATTGGAGTAAACCCAGTGCCGCTTGGGAAGGACGACATACTACTATCATACATACTTGCAGAATTCTGGGTAGACGCTGAAGACATTTCTTCAATATGTTCAAATTCTTCGTGCGCTATTAATTCGGCTATTTTTAGTTTTATTCGGGCTTGACGCTTTAAGGGAAGTGTTTTCACAGTCTGTGCATGTGCCAAGAAAAGTGAATCAATGGCCTCGTTCTCTTTTTTAGGTTTTTTACCTTCAAAATAATCAATGAGCTGTTGTACAGACGAAGATGGTGGTTCATAGCGTTTTCTGCTCGTTTTATATTTTGGTGTAGTTGCAGTCTGCGGAAAGGTGGTGCTGTCTGTGTTGCCGAGGCGTTCTGTGCATCTTCTGTATCTACATCAGCATTTTCATCTTCTCCATGGCCGCGGTCTTCCAAATTTTCGGTTTCTACATTTCCAGCCCTTTCCTGATATATATTTGAGTTAAATTCGGCAGTCTCATAATGTATGACGTCAATATCTTTCACATTAGACGACGTTTTGGCAAATGCCAAAAACGACCGAAAAATTCCATGTAGTCAGCCCACTGCCATTTCTTTATGTTGCCCACTGCTTGGCCGGTCTTTGGTTTGGTAGATTTTATATATTTTGCAAATGTGTATCTGATATTCTTCCACCTTTTTTTTTACTTCATCACCTAAAAACGATTTTTTTTATAGATTCCTTGCCACTGGTGGCACCTTCTATACCATTGGGCATAGCTTTCGAGTTGGCTTTACAACAGCGAGTGCAATCGTAACCGAAGTCTGTGAAGCGATATGCAGACATATGGAACATATATATTTACCAGAACCAACAGAGAATATATGGAAAAAATGTGCTGAAGAATTTGAAAATAGATGGGGATTTCCCAATTGCATTGGCAGCGTGGACGGTAAACATGTAACAATCAAGAGACCTAACAACAGTGGCTCCAATTAGTGGTGCTATTTACACAAATATTCAATAGTACTTATGGCCATTGTTGGCCCGGACTATAAATTTATATGTGTTGATATTGGTGGTTTCGGAAAAAATAGTGATGGGGGTATTTTCGAAACCTCAAACATGGGAAAACGATTTGAACAAAATTTAATGAGTGTCCCTGCACCTAGATTTCTCCCTGGGCAAAATGAAATCTGCTCGTACGTCTTGATTGGTGATGAAGCATTTGCTTTAAAACCATACCTTATGAGACCATTTCCTTATAAGCAGACTTTAACAGACGTCAGAAAAGAGAAATACAATGTACGACTTTGTCGAGCTAGAAGGGTCGTGGAAAATGCGTTTGGTATTTTGTCTCAAAAATGGCGAATATTTTACAGGCCATTAGAAACTAAAGTAGATACTACTATTCTAATTGTACGTACGGCATGTGTTTTACACAATTTTTTACGAAGTAAAAGTGGCGATGACAAATATTTTCAATTCTTAGATCCCCCAGAACCCGTGCTTAGAGCTTTTACTGATATAGCAAATGATCCTCGGCGGGCAGCAAGGCTAGCATTTTCTACTCGTGACAAATTCGTAAATTATTTTAATTCTGATATGCCTATGCCCAATATATAGAATGTTCGTTTTCACATTTGTGTAGACTGTAAATTATTTAACAAGTTAATAAAAAATATTAGGTACATACCATTTGTATTTAATTCTTTTCCTATTTCCATCCAAATCTTGTCTTTCTTTCTCACATTCCTGTATTCATCGTTCGACAAATCATACAAACAAGGATACTTTTTCACTATTTCTATCAATAATTCCGTTTTTGCCATTGCGAATTTTTGAAGAACGGCGTCAAAAACGCGGTCAAAGGCGAACTGAAATACGCCGCGATAAAAACGCTGAAACAATCGCATTCGCTTCGCACAAGTCTGAGCCTGTCCGTAAACCGCCGCGTTTTAATCTGATCGCGAATTCATCGCCGCGAAATTTTCGCAGCCAAAGCGAATATTTCGCGCCGGTTTGTGGGATGCTTCTTTATTTACATCTCATCTTGAATTTGGATTCAGTTTAGACTACCAGAATCATACAGACCAATCACTTTGCTCAATATAATTCGTAAAATTGCCGATAAAGTTATACTTCAACGAATTATGCCTAGTATCAGTAAAATTATTCCAGAATATCAGTATGGTTTCACCAAAGGCAAGGGAGCACAAACGCAACTTTTTGGAACAGTTAAATCCATCACAGATGCACTTGGTTAACGACATCATGTAGCACCGGTTACTACCGACACCGTCGTCTCAAAAGTATTTGGCTCTATTACTCATAGAAGTAATTTCATTTTTCATTGATTATAAATAAGCTAAAGGCATCATGTAACACAATCTATATAAAATAAAGGTTTCAAATTGCATTGAATCGTCCTTTTTTCCTCATTCCTCATTTAATTACGTACATAGATACAATGCAAATATTAATACATTCTCGTAATCTGCAAATTACATGAATTTACAATGAAGGTTCCCTTTTATTTCTTCAACTACACTTACGGAACTATATACACAACAAAGTAACTGCGACGCATAACTTGTATCGCAATTTTCACCGCGAGCATTTCAGTTTGCAACAAGTGCCCGGCACTTTTGTACTGACAAAATGTTGCAGATGTTAAAAGAAAAGTTCCATGCGTATGTTGCGCAACAGTTGACATACTTTCTAGTAGTCTGAAAAGCGCTATATTGGAAACAAAGGTTTAAGATTCGAATGACCTCTTTTGAAGGTATTTGCTCATCTTTGAAATTATTAAGCTGGTAAATGTTTGTCATTAACTAAACAAGTGTCATGTAAAGCCATGGAAGATTTTTTGAAAACACAATTGCTATTTCATCGTTTGAGATACGTATTTTACATTATATTGCGATATTTACAATTTAACAATGATCCGTTTGACTTCGACTTAGCGTAGATATTAAAACAATAAACTACATAATTCTGTTGACACTAAAAAGATAAATGCACTGCTTATCAATAAAATGCCCTTGGAAACAAAATCCATGTGGTATGCTTAAAAATAAAAATATGTCAACGTAAGTCTTCACGTGACGAGAACATAATTATAAGGATATTATCCTTTACAAGTGATTATGATAATAAAGAAAAATTCACTATTATGTATGTAGGTATCCAAGAAAGAGACTAATCCAAAACATTGATCATCGCGTTGATTATTGCGTGATCAGTACACTGATATATTTCAATATATAACTGTTATTGGGCAGAATAGGTCGAGCCCTTACACAAAACCAATGACAAACCAGAGGGTTGAGGGGGAGACGATACGACCCTGCATGCCGGCTGTCACGGTGGCTGACCGTACAGTACAGAGTTGGCATCAGATTTATACTGGTACTACTGTGTGCCTATTAGATTTGTCAGTTTAAAATTGTACAACTCAAAATGTCTGATGCGGATACAGCTGACGAAGTTGTTGATATAAGCTGCACACCGCCTAAAAAAGAGCTAAAAGGCTTCATTTTAGCGTTAGCGAAAAACAAATAATTATCAACATTTATACATACGAAATGCAAGGTAGGAGTGACTCAAGTGTTCAGGATATTGTTTGCAAAGCTGACACCTACATATTTTTCCATACTAAGACGAGGAATTTCAACTAAAATTATATTTTATTGTTGTTTTTGTACATGCTTAAACTATATCGAGATAAGAAATCAAGCAGTCATTTTGTTGGGTTCTTAATGCTTTCAATAGGAGCGGTTTTAAAGTGTCCGAAATGAACTATTTTTAGGAAAAGGTAAGCGATGGATAATTTGCCACATCAGTAATGAAGATGGATTTGTGTCCGATGCTTTATGGGTATTTGAATCCAAAAAAACCGGGAGACTACCATGAGGAAATCGATGGAGCCTCTTTCGAAAATTGGTTTTCAAATACTCTACCGAAGCTTGAAGATAATTCAGTTATAGTATTAGCTAATGCTTCATTCCACACGAGAAAATTAGAGAAAATCCCAACAACGTCAACAAAAAAAACAGAAATTCAAGGATGGCTTAAAAATAAAAAGATTGATTATGATGATACAACGGTTAAGGCAGAATTGTTACAAATTGTCAAGACGCACATCTTGATGACCTTGGGAGTTCCACGGCTTCAGATCTAGAATGATTTTCATTTTCAAATGTATGTATTTCCGGTTTCAGAGCTAAAATGTCTGTGCCATAAATTTTTGTACAATATTTAGTATGTATTTTTATGTTATGTTTTTCTTTCAACTCCACCTATCTATTTTTTTAGTCTAATATTTAAATTAACTGTTTGCACACTGACGTCCCTGTTCAAGCGGTGGCTAGGTATACTCGTATGCATATGCAATTATCGTTTTAATGCGACAAGACATTTTTTAAAAGCCTGCTTTCTAAATGCGCCTTACGACACATTCCGAGTATAATTTCTTGATAAAATACTTCTACTAAAAAGAGCAAAAAACCTTTGTTTTCTTTTTGGTCATGACTGTTAAATTAAAAAATATATTAATTCCAAGCTTTACGTTTCGACCCTATACATGCCTGCAATAATTTTGCATACCTTTTGATCGTGTCGTAGAACCACATATCATTTATTCTTAGTACGACCCTGTAACGTCCTCGGCGTTCTGAAGCGCGATCATGTGGAGTATACGTGTTTAGGTTCGGTCTCTTTCTTCGATCGATACATAATAGTACTACCCAAATATGGAGCATTAAGCTTACCATGACATCTGGATCCAGAATATTAGTGAACGCGGCACTGATATTCCAAGTGAAGAGTGTGTACCAGACGGTACCTATAAAGGTATCCCCTGCGTTGAGGAACAGTACCTCTGGCCCAGTACCATCTGCAGCCGCCCTTCGGTAGCGTCGAACCTCGTGTGCCACACGAGCCATGCCACCTATGCAGGACACGTTCCTGTGGTCCTGTCTACAAGTACCACCTATAAAGAAACAATATAGTTAGTGAAGGTTTTGCTAGAAACTTACAATAAATAGCTTAATTTCGACTAAATACGCATCAGTACTGCTCACGCATTCCCTAGGAGGATCATTTCTTGATATGTAGGTAAATGAGTAAACACTCTAGTTATAACTAGTCTTCAGATTGAAATGAATAGAAGTACTTGTAGCTCCCCGAAATACATTTTTAATGGTCCTGAAAATACAGATTTTGTTGATCTCATCAATGAAGTTTTTGCATTTAAATATTTCAGTTTTAACATATCGGGTGTTTCAAATTCGATCGTCACCATTGGGATCTCGAAAACCGCATTAAGCATTTTGAGTATTTTAGTAACAACAAAATAGTTCTTAGAAAGTTTGAAAATTCAAAGTACTTCTGGAGAGAGACGGAGAAAACCGAGTTTTCCCAAAATCGTTTTAGCTCTTTTATGACTTTGTTTCTGGTGGAATTCCAAAATAAATTACACATTAACATTGCCAGTTTTACACCAAAATAAGCTAAATGAAGAAAGCATTTTCCGACTGTATCAACTCACGAGGTAATATGAGCTTTACTGTTATGAATCAGAAAATAAACGACAGTCGGCTGTTTGTGTGTTCCAAGGTGAAGAAAAGCCAACAAAAGTCATCCGTTCTCGAAGTGTTTCGAAAAAGATGGTCGCGACATTTGTGTCAAAAGCGGGTCATATTGCAACAGTTCCTCTTAATGAGCAAAGAACTGTTACTGCGGATTGGTATACCACCATTTGTTTGCCAAAAGTCATCAGCGAGCTTCGAAAAATCATTCCCGAAAGAAGAATCATCCTCCACCAAGACAATGCAAGCTCGCACACAGCCCAAAAAACAAGGCAGTATTTAACGGAAGAAAACGTGGAATTATTAAACTATTCTCCATATAGTCCCGATCTAAGCCCCATCGATTTCTTTGCTTTCCTGAAAATTAAAAACAGACTGCGTGGTCAAAGGTTCCAGTCACCAGAAGAAGTAGTTGACGCATTCAAAAATGCCGTTTTGGATCTGCCAGCAAACGAGTCGAATAAGTGCTTCGAAAATTGGTTCTAGCCCATGCAGATGTGTATTAATCTTCGTGGAGAATACTTCGAAAACAATAAAGTCATTTAAAACTACCTACCGTGTTGTTTTATTTCCATATGCCAAACTTAAAAGACATCCCTCGTATTTTAAAGTATTGTCAATATTTCTTTTTATTTTAGTACTTACAATATTCAAAGTCATGCAATAGTTGCTTTTGGCAACGAACATTTTTATCCAAAATTTTCAAGTAACAATAAATTAATTTCAAAGATGTAATCATAATAAATAATTCGTGTGGCATATCTTAACATGTACGCTTAGAATAATGTATGTTGTCAATTGATTTAGATTCACTTTGAGTCATTTTGGCAAACAATGCTACTTGTTGTATTTTGTAACGTAAATTTATAGACTTTTCGGGCTGAGCAGGCGACGCATAACTGATGGTGATGGTTCTAGATGGATTCCTGCGACGTTGAATGATTGCCCTTGTGCCTTGTTGATTGTTATTGCAAAAGTTAAATGAACTGTATACTGGAGTATTTTGAATTCACATCGGAAGGAACTACGGGCAAGCGAGCTATAAAAACATCTTCATCGGCTGAATTTCCTGACGAATTCGTTGCCTCAATGATGTTTGGATGTAAATGTTTCACGATAAATCGAGTCCCATCGCACAATTTCGGTGGGCTCGAATTTCTCAGAACACCTAGAGTGAAATGTTTTAGAACAAAGTTTGTAGGGTTTGAAACAGATCATCTAATGGTGTTCTTAAACGTGACATTGACTAAAATCATTTTAAGCCATCCAAAAGGTATGGAGAGGACAGAATATTTTGAAAAGTGGGCTACCTAGAAAAAATTTTGCATAGCAAATTTGCAAGGTTTAAAAAGGATTATCTAATGGTGACTTTGAACGTTACGTTCTATAAGCAAGAACTAAAGTTCTCTGTTTAAAAATCAATTTGACCTTCAAAGATCACACTCAAGGTGGCGGTTAACTGAATGATAGTGAACTTGACCGTAAAGTGTTGCGCTTTTTTATATCCTGGACAAAAAGTAAGAAGTTTACTTGAAAATTTATCTACTCTTAAAATGACCTTGAAGTCCATGGTCCGGTTTGTTAGCAAGCAGTGTACTTTGAAAAGCTAACGTCCACAATTTTGGCATTTTTGTTCAAAATACACCCATTTTCAAATATTTAACCCATCACAGTGTTTCCAAATCGAGAGGCAAAAATTCAAGGGCTGATCCATTTCGACTATTATTTTGATCTGTGACAAATATTGCTGCACCTCCACTTTTCTCTAAAGCCTTAGAGTACGGTTACTATGGATGCAAATTCTTGTTGGAAAAGCAGAGCATGTCAATCGCTAGAAGCGACGGCTAATGGGAGTTTGAGATGTTATTTGAAGAATTCTGGACCAACCGCAGAAGTTTTTCTAGCATTTCAAGGTGAGGCGGACTGATTAGAGCCCCTACATAATCTCACGGAGAGAGAGAGAAACCTTAAACAAATATTTTGTTAGTCCATCTGGTGAGATTCCGTCTCAATACAGCCCACTGTAATAATCTGTAGCAACATATTGTTGATGAATATACCATAAAAAAACAACTATTTGGTCCTACAATTAATAAGTGTAATGAATGTAAATGTATGTCATGTAAGATAAATGATGTATCCGCATCAGAATAAAAAAATGCTAGTAGTGTCGAGTTATGTATCAATTTTCTCCCATTTTTGCCGAGAAATATCTCTGTTATGTTAATTTTCGTCACTCGTATCCCACAGCGATCTGTTCTCGTACATAAGAGTCAACAAAAGCTTGTGGCTGTTCTGGCTAATAAGCAACTCACTGATGATTTGAGCTTCTACAAGCTTTTTCATAATCGCTGATGGGCAAAAAGCCTTAGGATGCGAGTTCTTGTTAGAAAAGCAGAGCATGTCAATCCTTTATTTCCTAGAAGGAACGACTAATGGGAGCTTGAGATGTTATTTGAAGAATTGCTGGATTAATCGCAAAAAATTTTTTTAGGGTTTCAGGATGAGATCGACTTATTAAAGCCCCTACATAATGTCACGGAGAGAGAGAGAGAAAAATCTTAAAAAACATGTTTTCCTGTGACGGGAAGAAAGTTTGACATTTTATCTCTGCTGACTTTTAACAAAATGTCACTTTTTATGAAATTAATTTTTTCCTCGGGAAAATGAGTACTTACTTTTTTCCCGGATATTGTATAAACCCATAAGCAAAGGTAGATAATTAATTTTAGTATATTTTATTATATAATGATGTTACATTTCCTTTATTTATTATTAAATGTGCATTGCATGATTGGCACGTACCTTAAACTATTCGGTACAACAGTCGAATTTTCTTGTGTTGAAATTATATGTTTTTCTGTCATCACAACTCTCATTGATGTACTTGGTCGCAAATCCGGTGTAATTTCAGCACTACCACACGTACTAAACACTTTATTAGCTATTTCTGTCCTTTGTGCTACCGATTCAACAACATACCCTTCAGCGACCGTTAATGACTTCCAGCCGCCATGTTTTTTTAGTCGCATCAAGTCTCCCCCAGATTCAACTAGAAGTGTAGCAGACGATCTTCGAAATGAATACATGAACATTTTCAAGTTAAAGAAAATTTGCCACTGTACCGGGAACCTTATAAACCTGGTTTTTCTACCTACAACCTGATTGATACATTTTCCATTGTGATATGCATGAAACAGGGGTACAATCGGTAAAATTTAATATATTTTTCAGTAACTACAAATCTCCTGTTTACATCAGTCTTTATTTCCTTAAGTTTCACAATTAATAACGTTCTCGAATCTTCAATATTATCTAATGTTACCTGGCTGATTTCACAAATTCGACAAGCTCCTGCAATCCCAAATACAACAACAACCTTGGCCAGTAAATAAACTTCATCGGGAGCATTATTTAAAAAATCACTAATTTGTGTACTCTCAGCTTTCTTGGGCTTGTATCTTCTCCCATTTTGTTTCAAAAATGTAACTAGTTGAAAATATGTATTTTGAAATGTCTACATTATTATTGGATCATAACACACTTTTAATCATTGAATAATTCGACCACACTGTTGACGGCTTGTGTTGTTATGCCAATTCCGAAAAATAAGTCAATAACACCGTTTCCGACAAAGAACTGCATGTTTTTTTTCATCTTCTATTCCATGAATCTTTGATACGCGGTTTCGTAAATTTCCCGCGATTTATCTGGAAATAATTTTAGGGACGCTACTTTGGCTATATCTACTAATTCCGGTGGAGTCAAAGAAAACTCGGAATCAGACATTCTTTACTTTATAGTAATAAAAATAATTTCTAAACAACAACTAAGTTCACAATTTTTAAATCAAATCACAATATTAAATTGACAGCTATTTGATTACTTTAAAAGTTTCCTTAGCAACGCAGGTCTAATTGTCGCTATAAGTACAATTTAGCCTACTAATTTAAAATTCAAATTTCACATCGATAATTTTCTGACTTAAATATTGTAATAATATAATTTTTCAATAATAAATCGTCGTTTTTCCCGTCACAGAAAAAAAAATTATATTATACACGGGGAAAAATACTAGATTTTATCTCAAATCTAGTACTTTTTTTCCTTGTAGAATAAACAACTATTGGTAGTCCAGCTGATGAGATTTGGTCTCAATACAACCCATTGTAATAATACGAGGGATGTCTTTTAAGTTTTGCATATAGAAACATAGCAGTCCGCGCGGATCGAACGTCAGTACTGAATCTTAACCTTACTCTTTAGTAAACTTAAATTCAAAGTTTCACAACAATACGTGCAGTGTTCACTACAGTGAATTTTTAAATGTCACCAAGTCATTAGAAAAATGTCTGTTTTCGGCAACGAGTAAGAAAATTTGTTTCTCGTTGGATACCCTACC